TTTTACGTGGCGGGTCCCAAGCCCAGCGCACAACCCATTGCTGGGACCGATTTTCTAGATCAGGTAATTTTCCCAAGATATTCTAATTTTTATAAACAAAACTCTAATTTAACAGGGGAAAAAATTACATATTTTTTGCAAGTTTTTCATTTGTATTAAAGTCTGTTCTTTGGCAGGCAAAAAAATCAAGGTACCAACAATTAAAATCTACGCATAAAAAAAAAACAAGTTGTTGGCCAAATAAAAATGTGCAATAATTTTTTCGATAAAATGTGAGTAGTGAAGAATAAGAGTCATACGCCTTGTACATGGCGATACTCGTACATACCATATATGGCGTATGAGTAACATTTTCCATGTTAAAGTTTTTGATTTGTTTCTTATTCATAATGCAAACTTAAAATGCAAATATCTTAGGAAAATTACTGGATCTAGAAAAGTGGTGTAAATATCCGCAATAGAGTGTCCAAAATTAAGTTTACTTGCCTTCGAATTTTTTTGTGCGATTTTTGAGTTTCCACGGAGTTATGAAAGAAACTAAAAGTTCTTGCGAGTCTGTGTTCTTTCGTATTTTCATAATTAAAACTTTTGAAAGTTTCATTTTTTTTGAAAAAAACTTAAATATTTTACTTTCTAAATATATATTCATATAGCTTAACAAATAATGAATCGTTGCGGCCACGCACCACGCACAGCCACATGGTAAGCCAACCAAAACACGTGCGTCAAGTGATAAATGAATGGCGCCACAGGCACGAGTGTAACAAAACAAAAACCAATTTGCCGCCTTATTGATATTTGGCCTAAAAAAAGTCAAACAAATATTGAAGTGAAAATACAAATACATAAGTACATTTAAGAAAACAGCGGATTAAGTAAACAAGCAAAAAATTCATCTCGAAATGACGGAATTATGGAAAGCAAAGATTATGCGATGAGCTAACAAGGAGATTTTTTTTTCATAATCATTTTTTTCAGCATAATTTCAGCACATTAGCATAATAATTTGCGTATTTACATGTTACTCGTAAACAAGAATATAACTCAGTAGGCAAAATAAAGCAATAAACCTTCTGGGACGAATTCTTTTAGAAATTTGGAGTCGAATCTTATCTTCTTTATTTTGAAAGGAACCACAAGAGTTTCAAGGCCTTCTGCTTTAGCTTCGTTTAAAAAGAGAACATCTACACCCACCATTAATGAGGGAGTACAAATTTAACTTTCCATCATGCCTATCAGAGCACTGCATCATTAAGTTACGCTTCGTGCAATTATTTTAAAACTGAATGAACTAGACATTTTGCTGGTTTCTTACCATTGTACATATCCCGAACCATCCATGCATAGACTAGGATAAAACGACCCTACGCAGAGGAGTCGACCAATCAAAGTCATACCAACCCATACAGAAATAACAGAGGTAGGTTTTCTTACAGCAAACTCTTTGCATGAAAATCAATAGACATCTCATGGTAAGATCTAACATCCACGCTTCTCAGTGTCCTAAAAGGAACATCTAAAGTTCCATTGGGAAAAAAGAGGTGAGCGTACGTTGCCTCCAAGATTCTTAGCTACGAAATGCTGCCATGTATCAGGTCTTCACTACAATCAGATGACCTTTTTCTTCTAAGGTTTAACTGCACACATAGCTTAAATTTGGTTCCCCTAACAGAATAATTTGGGAGAAGGAATGACCTAAGCCCCGGAAGGCCAGTAACATTTGCTACTCTGGCGGCTTCAAGGCTGACCATAGCACACAACCAAGAGGCTCCTTTTTGCTAGCAAGAGGCGAGTAAACTCTGCCTTTCAGGATGAGATATATGTGTTGAACTATAGAAGATGCAGTATGTAAGAAGTGGGACAACCAAAAACACATATACACATACTCGCCTGTGGGTACTCCCCGCCGTGAAAGACCTCGAGGTCATCCCAAAGTTGGTGCGGGATAGCCTTTACCTTTCAAGACTCCTTGCATCCAGACACCAAAATAGTAGTGTCATTGGTAAAGTAGGAATCGCAATATTACTGCGCAAGTATGGAAGGTAACAGATCTGTGAAATCGTTTATCTAGGAAACATCAGCAAAACATCGATGATGCGAAGAATCGACACGATCATTGCGCTCTAAATAAGATTAGGATTAAGATCAAGATTAAGATTAAGATTAAGATCAAGATTAGGATTAAGATTAAGATTAAGATTAAGCTTAGGATTAAGATTAAGATTAAGATTAAGACTAATATTAGGATTAAAATTAAGATAAAGATTAAGATTAAATTTGATAATAAGATTAAGATTAAGGTTGATATTAAGATAAACTGACTAAAGATTGTGATTTATATTAAGAGTAACACTAAGATTGAGATTAATATTTACACTAACACTAAGATTAGGTTAAGACTAAGATTAAGGTTAAGATAAAGATTTTCTCATACCTAATGCGATCGAGTTCTTTACCTTTACTTTGGAAGCAAACCCGTTTGTCTTCGAATCAGTCAGGTCTATTCGAAAGTCTTTTGATATATCTCTTAAAGGGAAGGCCTTATTGAAAAAGTATCGCCTGAATTCGCTTAGTTAGAAGCGGTTTTTCAATTGCTGACTGGGTAAGTAAACACAAGTACACAAACAAACAGTGAAACGAAAAATGTAAAAATATTGTGACTATACGCGCCGACTGTTTATCCAGAAAAATAAATATCTTACTTATTCTTCCTTTCCTGTTTGCAATTTTCGCCCGAGGCATATGCCAAAATTTATGATTTGTCATTTGCAATGTCAGCAACTTAAGCAACTGTGGGACAAGTTCATTTTTAATCAACTCTAAGTATTATTCCTCATTTGGTAATTTAAAATTTTGCGCCAAATTAACTTCACCGACGGCAGATAAACATTTGAACAATTTAGGCAACTGAAATAAGAAAGCATAAGAAAGACCGAGCAGTNTCACCGACGGCAGATAAATATTTGAACAATTTAGGCAACTGAAATAAGAAAGCATAAGAAAGACCGAGCAGTGAAAGGAAGTGAACGCAGTGCTTACAGAGCTTAAGTCACTAAAAAAAGAATAGAAATAATACTGAAGTAGAAGCAACAGTGAAAGGTAAACGCCTGCTGCATTACTGTTGAGTGGCGCATAATTTGAAATTAAAGGCCCAAAGCTGCTTAAGTGTCTAAGCGCTTTGAAGTCTTTTTACGCCACAAAATTGAAAATAAAATCACTATCATAAATCAAAATTTGAAAATTTACAACGCTGGCGCGCCTAAATGTAGGCTGCATATAAAATACTGACTGCCTTGTTGGACTATAAGTAGGCGCGTTGGTTGGTGGTTTTTGCTTTTGCGGAAGTGAATGGCGTGAATTAATGGTTGGGCAGGCAGAGCAATATGTAGTACCACTTTAAAATGTACATACGAGTACTTACGGAAAATGGTGGGGAGTTTTGAGTTCATACGATTAAATATAATCAACATTTTCAGAGAACTACACACACATTACATGAGCACGAGTGTTATGTACATATACTCGTAATAATTTTCTCGTACATGCATTTCAAGAGCGCAATTTGATGAATTGAGGATGAGAAAACACAAAGCATGTCCATATATGTAGATGAAGTGTATGGCATACGCAATGATCGCCGCAAGTGTCTGCTTCTTGAGCTCAATACAAAACGTTCACCTGGTCAGTTTGTAAAGGTAATGATGCATACATTATATTATAACTATTTGAAATATTCTCTAACTATTGCTTAGCCTTTCTACTGCTATTTATGTATTGAGTATTCTTCTCATACCAGTCAAATACTTTCTTGCTTACCACATACTTAACTGCTCCCAGTGCAGTGGGCAAACTTGTTTGCTACCCTTCCCAAACTGTGTAAGTAAGTACCACTCCCTCAGTGTCTGATGTTTCAACAGCTGCTACAACGTACATACTTACTTCCTAATATTGCTGTGGGCTTGTTTGTCCAATAAATCCTGAAAATTAATTATGTACCTTAAGTGAGACGTGCAAGAACATACACAGAGAAATTTTCGTTTTCAAATTTGTATGGAATGTTTTACTTTTAAAAACGTTTTGACCCAGGTTTTGCACCTACAATATTTATTTAAATTTTGAGAACGAAAATTTTCAAATCGTTTTTAAAACCGATCGTTTTATAATTGAATATGCGCATGTTGAAATTAAATCCTAAAATGTTTTTTCTTCATTTTAAAAATATGCATTTTTAAATATGATATTCAAATTTTATTTTCATTAAATCACAACAAGTCATTTGGTATATACATACATTGTCAAAAATATATTGATATACATATATACTTATAAATAAGTTACAAAATTTAATAAACAAAATACAGATGTTTTACAAATACTATATACATACATACATAAATGCATCCATACAGATGTTCCCGCCTTACTTCAACGCTGGGTCTTCTAGTTTTTCTTCACGCTGGTCAAACCCTGTAATTTAAAGCAGGAAAGTTTTAAATTATTATTTAATAACTCATAAGAATTTATTTTTGTAAATTATTCTTACCAAAGCTTTTTTCGGTCGAAGAAGTCCACCGTATCACCAATGTCCCTTCCATGTAGTTAGGTGGTTAGAATGGCGGTATTGTTTGTATATACTTCATCACCTTTTTGAAGATTGAAGTAACTTATTTATATCAACACAATTTTTTCGACAAATGATGCAAACATATGAAATGCTTTTCATTATAGCTAGGTAGCTTTTTAAATTCTAATGCAAAACATTTTAGTTTTAAATATTTTTCATACTTAATTGACTGAAAATAAATTAAATTTTTTATTTAAAAGTGTATAGTTTTATTTCGCTTGTTGAAAATTGTGTCGCACTACAATTCGTTGGGAGAAAATCCTGAAATGTTTCATTTTAGTTTTGAAAATACGAATTTTTTCCGTTTTTTCTTTAATTTCGTCTGTTCTCCTCAGTAAAAAAGTGAATATATTATAACGATCGTTTTTGTTTTGCGAATGTTTCGTTTTAAAGTCGTAAATGCAATCATTGTATTTTTTATTTTGTATGAAGTAAAATTATTTCAAAAACTTTTATTTTACAAATTCTTTTAAAAACTTGCGTTTTACCTGTATCATTTTCTCTGTGTAGGCACACCTGCATGCTGCCTAACTGGTGGTGCTCACACCACCTGCGCCTAGTACTTAGCCTCCGAGCTACATACGTGTGCAAATATGCAGATGTACATACCTATACATACTTACAACCCGTGCTATAAATATTTCCAAATATGCGCTGGTATTTATTCAAGTAGGATGTGTATGGTTGATATACCCTGCCACAATTCAGACTCACCCTAGGTTAGCCCTCAGATAGTTGCTATTGTTACAAGCACTAGTCCCTCATGATTCCCCTGCCAATGGTTTCAACTGCTATTTTTAGCATTGGCGTGTCATTGGAAAAGGACCGGTAAGATAGTCCTGGACTAGTCCAATTTTGGAAACACAAAAAAAAAAAAAATTATCATTTTATAACCATGTTGCCTCTGACGGCATTTGAACCCGGACCCTTTTGAAAGCTAACAAATGGTGGCAAGCATCTCTGCGCACTAAGCTACAGCCACGCATATAAATATGTGTTCAAATGTTCACTTTGCATCAAAGCTAGACCAAGCGATTGGGACATTTACAGGGTGGTGTTCTTTCATTTTTTTTTTATCGAATTGCAAGACAATACCACCCTGTCACTGCCAAACTGTACTTTTCGTCTATCTCTACACCGGTTCCTAGACCGAAGACTGATCGAAGGCTGACATTTTCGATTCAAGAAAATGCCCAATTCTGACCGGTCAAATTTTAACCAATGAAGTGCTAGTCCTTTACGGAAAATTGACCGCCTTATTGCAGCAGGGTACATACACACATTCATATGTATAGGTCTATATCCACTATTTGCTCTACACTCGGCTCAATGGCATATTTATTTGTCACTCCTGGTTGGATGAAGATGCTTTGATTTATTGTGATAACTGGACTTATGTGGATATAGTCTATAATACTGCTTGCTGGAATCTAACGGACCCGTGATAAAATTTGAATTAAAAAAAAATATAAATTTTTTGCTCATACTGTGGAGCGTTTCCACTCTACAAATACAAATTAAGAACAGCAATAATGCGGTTTTAAAAAAAGAGAGCCTTGGTAGCCGGCAATATGATGGCTGAGCTCTATACCGGTACCCAAATGTGTTGAGGGTTAAGAGCTTAAGGCAATCTAACACCATCTTAAAAAAAGATCTCATTTGCTTTAATGCGAAAAGCGTCGTACTGCTCAGGGTGTATACAGATTTGTTTGTTTGTTACCCGAATTTCTGTAAACTGTTAGATATTGTTCAGTTGAAAGCACTTCTGGTGAAAATCAGTTACATGGGTTGTATAGCAGAGATTTTTGCTGGAACAACTTGATCGCTATTGGAACCATTATCAGAATATCAAATGTGGCTATTCTTCCGAGGTTTCGATCGCTCATTTTTGCCGTTGGCTCAATTTGGGAAAATTATCTTAAAGTATACATCGGCAGATATACATACATATGTAGGCCCTCGGAGCTAATCCTTCCTCTTGTTCTATATCTCTGACAGTAGATGTGCTTACTAACTTCTCACACTCTGCACTGTCACTGGAGATGAGTCTTGCTGCAAACAGTAGAGCATCTTATTTGATTACGATGTTCGGATTAGGCATTAGCAGCACCTATGTATATGGCTCTGTACGTGTAAATGATAGGTACAAAAATGATGGAATGACGATGGAATTAACGCCATGCACAAACAGTTATTTAGGTTGGGCTCCGAGGAAAATATCTTCCGACTCGATACCCATGTGTGGACAACGAGTTCAATGATAGCCAAGTACATAATGGAAGGACCTAGTGGAGAAGAACCTGTTTACATATGGTGTGGACAGCTGGTGGAATTTTGAAAATTGTTGTCGATTTATTTTCGTACCGGCCCAGACCGACACACGGTAGTAGGGCCAAATAAGAAGATAAAGGATTTTTATACCCGAGCGCACTTGTGCACAAGGGTATATTAATTTTGTTCACATAACGGTTGTTTGTAACAGCCAAAACGAATCGAGATAGATATAGACAAATGTATACATAAATGATCAGGNGGTAACCGTTCTACCAATTTGTACCAAACTCGGTATGGTTATTGTACTTGCCACGTGTAAGCAAAACGTTGAAAATTATTGAAATCGGACTAAAATAACGGCCGATTCTCATATAACGGTAAATTTAAGAAATGCTTGAAACTTCAATATTTCGAAATTGAAGGACGCTAATTTACTCAAAATTGATACACCTCGGCTTACCATCTAGCGGAAGGTTTCGGAAGGGTGAAAAAACATATATTTAATACTTGCGCCGGGTATTTAATGTTCGGCTCCGCCCGAACTTAGACATTCTTACTTGTTCAAATTACCTTTTTTCCAAACTAGTAAATTACTATTGCTAATATTTACGATCTACTTATATATAACGTCTTACTCATATAATACGCGGACACAGAACAGAACTGTTGGCTTAGAACTTTCAGGTTTAGAACTGTGAAGAAATTGTTATCATTAAAAGAAGACACAGTATTTCACGCTCTTACTTTATTTATTACGTTAGATAACAAGGTGGTCATATTCCTCGAAGCTATTCGGCTCATCGTAGCCGAATCTCTACAAATTGTGGATAAGCACGAAATTGGTGAATATTTATCTGAAGAACCTTCAGTATTTTCTTTAGATTCTATCTAAGGGTTGAATGCCTTGTCCAGTTCTCCTGTGTCCACATTACGGATGGTTAGGCCACCATGGCTGCTGGTGCAGGTGCTTGACTGGTTTTTTGGTCCGAGTCCACTGTTTGGCCACACCACTGTTGCCCTGTCTTCCGGTGGTAGTAGCCACTTCTCTAACCAACGCTGGGCCTGATATCCAAGCGCGAGTTTTACTCTTGTCGACCTCCATACATAATTTTTTGTCAGCAATAGTCTAAGTATGCCAACCCCACCCTCCTTCCGGGGTACCATATGAATAAGATTACCAGGAAGTATGTTTATACAACGGCTGGCATTTAATACGTAGAAGTTTTGAAAACTGTTTAATTATTATAATAAATGCACCAAGAAAAGTCCCACCAAACCACATAGTTCCAAAATTTGGCTCATAGGAAACGATTGTTAAATAGCGCTTTTTCCACTTTTCAAACTTGAATCGCCCAGCCTGCTGCATATTTCTTATAGGGTCACTTAGCAAAAGCATTAATTCATGCAACATAGAAATTTGTTACAGGCGTCAAATTCTAAGTAAATTTTGCCAAATTGCTTCTGGTTATTTGCCAATGCCAACAGTTGACCATTCAATGTCCGCACCGACCGTCGGTTAGTCGGTCATGCAGGCAAGTTAGTGACCAACTTTGAGCTGACTATCAACATACATACATACATATACATATGTTTATCTGATTGGCCATTGCTAGTGTCTTGTGGCATGTTGAGGTTTTGCTGCCAAGTGGTTGCATGCTCTATTTTAAGTCGCCTTAGAAGGTTCGTGTGTACATATGTACATATGTACCAGAACATGAAATATTGTTTGTATGCAAATATTCTGCGTGCTTTAACATACTTCTATGAAGTTGCAAGCTTATATTTGCAAACAAATCTGATGCAAATTCTATTGGAATTGCTAAACAAGTTTTCACCAAATTTCTTGTTTGCCTGCTAGCGGGCAAAGGAGAAGAGTTTACCTTCACATACATACATATGTATATACATATGGGCCTTGATATTGTTAAAACAAGCGAGGGGACAAAATTGAGCTCTTTGTTTTTGCTGGCATCTTTTTTGCTGTTTCACTTGTTATCGCATAAAGATGTAACGCAATCTTTGGCTCTCAATTATCGAATTCCTCCGACGTCATAGTATGTGCGTGCAAAAATGCGTCTTAGTTAGTAGTCACATTTCACCCACTTCCTTTTATGGCTAAGGGAGAATTTGCAGTGATTTTGGATTAACGTTATTTTTATAATTTTTGCTTTAACGGGCTGGTTGCTGAATTCCTCGTCTTCATTAATTTTGCTATGCGATCGATGAAAATGTCTATGGTGTTTTGTGGTGGGCAAGTATGCTAGCACGTATGCAATGTATGCGTGTACAATATGTATGTATATGTACGCTATAATATTTTAATAAGAAAATATTTTGACATGAATAAAGTTGAGTTGGTTGAGCTGAGTTGAGGTGTGTTTTGCTGCGCTTCTGCATGCAGATAGATGCTGCTACCTTGTACTATAAACGTTCCAATTTAGAAGACTGCACTCTAAGTAATTTTATTAGCCTCCATTTTGCATTTAAAAAATTTACAGAGCTATTGAAATTTTGCGAAAATCCTTAAAAATCACTCTTTTTAGTTTAGTGAGGATTCAAAGTTTTTGCCAATTTTGTTTATGTTAAGCCAAATTAGAAAAGATATGCAGATATGTATATACTAACAATGTGGATATAAAATCACTGAAGCAAAGCGTTAGCTGATGTACGAGTTCATATATATGTACATATATAGTAGAGGTGAGCAAAAATTTTGTAGAAGTACATATAACGCCAGAGGAGTTTATCTACAAAAAGATTTTTTTTTTGATTTATATGAAGAAGAAAAGGTTTACTTATAAACAATAAATACGGCCTTTTTCGAAAATGTTTACTGCACTTACATACGTATTATAGTAAATAAAACTAAAAGGGCGTGAAACGGGCTATTACCATTTCGATCCTAGTAATGCATTTTAAGCTGTACCTACATTTTTTTTTTTAAATCAGTGAGGTTCCTCTATTAAAGCCTCCCATCTTAAGCGGGATAGAGCTTACTCTCTCAACTGAGGTCAAATAACTCGGAATTATTCTAGACTGAACACTAGGTTGGAAGCGAAACGCCGAAGAACACTCCTGGAAGGCCAATATCGCACTGTAAGCTTTTAGGACGGCTATAGGCTGCATGTACACAGCTGTGACAAGACCCATCCTCTGCTATGGGGTCACCGTTTGGTGCCCGGCGCTAAACAATACTTTGTGGAGAGTCAAATTGGACGGTTTTCATGCTTATCAAG